CCTGCCTGCTGTACGCATGACACAACACCAGCCACCACAAAAACCAATAGGGTCGGAGGGGGGGGGGGGCACGCCACCGACGCTGCACCGAGGGCGCCACCGAAACTACGTCATCACTCACGGCGAAACATGCCGTCGAAAGTTAGCAAATAACGCTTCCAAAACTACCTCGGCAATCCAGCACCATACGAAAAACACCAAAAAGCCTTTTCTGCGTGAGCCCGCCATCATCGCTGGGGGTGACTCTCTCGCGCACCTCGTCTTCCCACAACGTTGAATCAGGGTCAATCTCCGGCTGCTCCCCATCATCGGCTCCATCCCCCGCACCCCCTGGCCGCCGCCGCCGCCTGGGAGCAGAGCTAAACGCGTCGTCGCTCACGCCTTTGCCGCTGCCCCCGCCGGACGCAGATGACGCCCGAATGATCCCGTTCGCGAACTCCACAACGCACGCCATGACTCGCTGGAACTCCTCCGGCCTCGTGCCCCTCGCGCCCTCCCCGAACTGCGGCTTGCACGTGAGCCAGTCGAGGAACACGCCGACCCCTGCGGCCGTCACCTTCTCCCACCCGCGTTGGCTTGTCTTGCGGTGGAGCCCAGCGAGGGATCCCGCCAGCGACAGGCACAGGCGGACCGCGCGGGAGGTCGCCCCGTCCTCGGTCCAGCTACCGCCTTTCATGCCACTTGACTGCCACGCCTTTCGAGGGGGGGGAGGGGGGGGAGTGAGCTCGCTTGCACTGATTGTGTGTACATTCTCTGCACACATCGTTACAGGAACATATATCGCGGCTGCTTTCAAGGGAGGGGAGATTCCCGCCCCGTGTATCCCTTCCGATTCTGGAAAACACAGATGAGATTGAACGATGGTCTGCGGCAGGGCGCACGACCGGCCAAAAGACAACAAACGAAATCGTACATGGCGGATCTGATTCACGTACATACGGGAATACAGGTGGGGACATAGGAGTTGCCGCCAAAAAGCCGAAAACAAACCAACACGAACACACACAGAAACGTTGTCCGCAAACTAGCTGCACTAAAACGAAGTACGTCTTTTTCATTGGTCAGCCTGTTGACGTGGGTATTGTAGACGTTGCCAACAAGAGCCACCGCAGCCAAACGCCAAGAGTATCAAAAAGGTCCCGCAAGAAAAACCGAAGCCCTAGGCGCAGCCCTGACTCTCAACAGGAGCGCCTCTCGATTCGACTCGACAGACACAATAGCACGCGTTCTTCACCTCCATCGAAGCCGACACGGTGCAGACGCACATGACGATGGAGCGCGCCAGCGTTCCCCCAAGGCCCTGCTCACCCCCCGGGTCTTGTGTGCCGTCGCCGCGGCCGCCGCCGCCACCGCCGGCCTCCGCCGCCGCTTTCATGAGGTGCAGCTGCACGCAGCTCACCATGTGCCTGTCCGAGAGCACGAGATACCTGCGAGAAGAGAGGTCCCGACAGGACGCTATCGGCTTGCAGATCGTATGTACCGCTCGCGCTTGCCGGTAAGGCGAGGCTAAGCAGATGAGGGTATTCTTCAAAGCGAGGAGGGTATACAGCTTGGGTTCGGTGCCCCAAACTTGAGCCCACCTGGTTAACGCTAGCCGTAGTGGGCCGCCACTCGTTGGTAACCCCAGGAGGGCGTGAAGCGTCAAACCGCGCGCGTAGCAGAGCATGACACGACACGCGAAGACCAATTGAATGCACCCCGGATTGCTACCGATACGATTAATGGGAGGGACGGGGGGGAACGAAGGCTCTCTCTCTCTTTCCCTCTATCGGTGTGTCTGTCTTTCTCTGTCTGTGTCTTGTTTGTCTATCTCCCTGGTCTGTCGCTGTCTCTCAAATGTGGGTCTCTATCGTGTCTGTGTACCTGTCTGGTCTGTCAGTCTTTGTCTCGCTCTCTTTCTCTGTCTGTGTCGGTGTGTCTGTCCTTCTCTGTCTGTGTCTTGTCTGCATATCTCCCTGGCTTGTCTCTCATCTGTATCCCTCTGTGTATCCCTCTGTGCCGCTTGTCTATGTACCTGTCTGGTCTGCCTGTCTCTCGTCTCTTTTCTATCGCTCTGTTTCTCTCTGTCTCTGTGCGTGCCTGCCTACCTGCCTGCCTACCTGCCTGCCCCTATCTCGCTCACTGCTTATCTCCCGTCTCTGTCTCTTCCTCTGCCCCTCCGCTCGCTCACTCACCCATCAAACGTCCCGAGGTCGACCCTCGACAGACACGTCCCGCACGCACCAAGGAGGTACAGCCTGAACCTCGCCTCGTGCTCCTCGAAGCCGATGGCGTCGAGAGCCGTCGCCTCCCTCAGGGTGGAAAGCCTCGCCTTGCACTTTTCGTGCAGTACCAGGAGGCTCTCCCTCCCGGCGGTGTGGGGCACGGCTGCGCAGAGACCCCTCAGGTACGCGTAAAACGCCTCCAAATTGTCCTGGCGGGAGGAGGCCAGCACCGCCATTTGGTTCCACACCTGGAGGGGGTGGTTCGTTGTGCCAACGAGGGGGGGGGGGGGTGAGTCGCAATTCCGCTTGCCGTCGTTTAGTATCGACCGAAGGTTTGCGAGCCGAGACGAAGCGCATCGAGCTTGAAGGGCTAGAGGGGGGAGCAGCGCAATCTTGAACGGACACGCGCTGTGTGCACGAGCACGAAAGGCGGTGGATGCGCGACAAACGTAGGGCAGAAACCTTTGCCAACAAAGCCCGCTACAACAGCAGTGGCAAGAGCCCAACTCCCAAGGTAGGGCAGAAACCTTTGCCAACAAAATCCCGCCACATCAGTAATGTGGCTAGAGCCGAACACCCTCATTTGAGCCATGCCCGGGTGAGTCTTCTTGAGCTATACGAAGGGCGGCGAGACCCGACCGCCCGGGGGGGGTCGGTCCTCTTTCCCATCACAGCTGTCAAGTACCAAACGCCAGCCTCCTGTGCTACACCCGCCCCGACCCGCCCACCCAAAAGTCTACTACTCGCCTTTCCTGAAGAAGGGTCGACCTTGAGGGCACGCAGGTACAGCTCGTGCGCTCGCGCATAGGACGCCTTGCTTCCCTTGCCGCCGCTGCCCTCCGAGTCACCACGACCGTGCAACCCCCGGTAGCGCGACAGATCGCCGAGGCTGGTCAAGAACGCCTGCAGGGCCTGCTGGCGTCCTCGCTCCTCGAGCGTCATGTCCTCGTCGTCTTCGTCGTCGCTGTCGGCCATCGAGCCCGCCATCCCTCCGTCCGCGCTGCCGCCGCCGCCGCCGGTATCTCCGGAGGCCGCTCCGGCATCGGTCTTGTCGGCGTTGGCCTTGTGACCTCCGTTGGAAGATGATGACGATGGTGATGACGATGGTGACGCCGCCGCCGATCCCTTGTTTCTCGCCGAGTCGGCGGCGGCGGCCGCCTGCTGCCGCTCCACCGCCTCCACCATGCCGCCGATATCCCGTTCGGCCTCGTCGACGAGAGCGAACAGCCGGGAGCGGAGGGCCTGCGGTTGCTTCTGCCTCTGCTGCTGCGACGCGCCGGCGGTGTCCGACGCCCCGCCCGCGCCCGTGAGCAGCTGCCGGAGCCTTTGCTGGATCACCTCCAGCTCGCGGTAGTGCGCCATCCAGAGACGGTTCGGCAGGCGCTTCCTCAGCGAAAAGCCCGGGTCCCGCCGGATGAGCGAGCCGAGCGCCCGACTCAACGCGACTCGTACTCGAGAGACTTTGCCGTAGAGCGCGGCGCCGGGGAGCAGCTCGCCCCCGGCGGCCCTCGATGACGATGCCATGGCCGCCGCCGCCGCCGCCGCCGCCGCCTCCCCGACCGCCGCGGAGCCGGAGGTAGCCTGAGCTGCTCCCGGGCGGCCGGCCGCGACGAGACCGATCTCCCGGCGAAGGCTTTCGAGCAGGGTCTTGTGCTGCCGCTCGATGCCGCTTACCATCGCATAGGCGTCCTCGATGCCCATCTCGTCGGGGTCGCCGCCCAAGTCTCCAGGTAACGCCCGTGTCGCCGCCGCCGCCGCCGCCGTCGCAGCTCCACGACTCTTGCCCTCGGACAACAGTAGCTCCTCGGCGGACACCTTGAGGAGCCCCGCCGGTTGCTGACGGGCACCGCGGCCGCCGCCGCTTCGAGGAGTCGCTCCGGCACCGGACCGCGCCTGGCTCGGCGCGCCAACCCTGACGTCTCTCCCCACCACGACTGCTCCCCGGGCAGACGGCGACGGAGCGGCCTGGCCCGGACGCTGCCGTCCGGAATCCTTCGGCCGCTGTAAGACCTGCCGGGGGCCAGCGGAGTCGGTCCCACCGCCGGCGCCACCGGCGCCGGCGCCGCGTGACCGCCTGCCGCCGCCGCTGCCGCTATCACCGTCTCTTCGACGCCCTCCGCCACCGCCGCGACGTCTTTCGGTGGCCTGCTCTTGCTCGCGGTGAGCCTTGAGCATCATGCCCATCATCTGCGCGCGCGCCAGCTTCGCCACGACCTCCTCCTCCACCCTCCTCGACATGTCCTCGTACCTCTCTTCCGACGGCACGTCCGCGTCCACCGCCGTCCCGCCGGCGCCGGCGCCGGCGCCTCTTCTGGCCCCTTTCGCTCCCCTGCCGCGCACCGACGAGGCAGTGGCGGCGCCGCTCTCCGCCCCGTTCTCATCCTCGTCCCACCTGTCGCGCTTCCACTCCTTGTCTCCCTTGGGGAGCCGGGCCGCCTCCCGCTCGTCTTCCCAGAGGGCACGGCCCCTCGTCGTGTCATGACCGTCGCCGCCGCCGCCGCCAGCGGCGGCGGCGGTCTTGGCGGCCTCGGCGGCGCGCCGGGAATAAACCTCGAAGCCTCGTCGGGGAGCACGGCGGGAGCCCCCCGTCGGCTTACCGCCCGGCTCGCTCATCGGGGCAGCCGGGGGAGTTAGCTCTCTCGACAAAAAAAACGTGCAGCCGGTGTTCACGTCAGCGTGCCTGGGCAGTGGCCAAAGAGCAGTCAGTGGTGGGTCTCGGGACTACTGCTGTCGTTGCAGCGGGGGGGAGGCAAGGGCGGAAGACCGTTTGGGGCGCATGGAGGTGGTTGGCGAGGGGGGGGGGGGGTTAGCGGTGCGGTCGACCACCTGCAGTCGGCAACAAGAAGGGCCTGTTTCGTTGCAGGCAAACAGATTTTCTTCATCTTTCACGATAGTGTCTTGAATTTCGGGCTCAACTTCGCCGGTTGTTGTCGTCCAATTAGTTCACTTCTTCAGAACAAGCGCCCGACAAACACTACTAGTGTCACCGATTTCATTGACGAATCAAACGCATCACGCCCGGCGCATGGGACAGCCAACCATCGTCAATTGACGCGTGTGCGATTCAGCGGCCGTGGTACACGAGGCGATAGGAAAAAACTCGCTCTGACCATGTCGACTCGGCTCTCGCCTCTTTGAACGACATCAACCAGGCTATCCCTCTTAATTTTGAGAGGGAGTCCAAACGGAGGGGTCTGACCTTCTCAACGGACCCGAACAGCTTCTCGCAAAACGTAGGTACTGTATGCACATGTGCCCAAAACTTCGTAGACAGGGGGGGGGGGGGGGGGGGGTGAGCAACACACCCTCCGGGCCTGAGGTCACCCGCGAGTGTGACCTGTGCCTGTCCTCACTGGTCGTTTTGACAGCAACATGGTAGTGGAACGCCTGTTCCACATGTAGATCATCAAGGGCGCTGCTTGCAGCCTCCGGGCCTCTATTCTGTAGATCATCAACGAAGAAGTACACAACAGTACACAGCCTCTGCGGAGATGGCCATTTTCAATCCGCCAAACGCTGCGATGGACGCGTCTATCAGCATCACTCGTCGCGTCGAGTCCCGCAAGGCAACGGTAAAAGGCAAGAGGCATCGCCTGGTTGTGCAGGTTGTGAATTGCAGCCCCAAGACTGCAGAGCATAAGTGCCGAGACCGCACAAATCAACAAGTGCCGTAGAGTAAGCTCACTGCATTCAACAAACAGCGTTTGCATTCGTACAAAAAGGCCGTTTGCATAAACAATATACTGCCGTATGCATACCCTAATTGTAAAGGATATGCTTGCTGCTTCGACAACAACGCCAGCAGATATTCCACATCAGTAGTAAGATACCGCGGCAGGTGCGCGAGTCAAAGCAGGCAAGAAGGAAAAGCAGTCGGTATGCACCCTGCGCCTGCCGCCATGGCGGAGAACTATCGGCACACAACACGCACCCTATTGGGAGAAAAAATCGCAGAAAAAAACCAAGAGCCACCGCGACAAGCGACAAGTGATATCTGACACGATACGTACTTTTCGCACACAGAAGAAACCCGGGGGAGATTTACCCGACTGCGACCGACTCTTTCGGGATGTCTACAAACCACACCACTACAGTTGTTGGACACCACTCTCAACGCGCCGGAGGGGACACGTCACGCTCGAAGAAAACTCTATCACGCCTTACGCGCCACCCGTGCTGTCTACTACACCGCGGCGGCGGAGCAAAGTCTGTTGACGTGCATACCTGTGGTTCACCAGCAGTGCAGAGCGATGCGGCAGCAGCTGATTTCCTCGCTCTCTCTCTTCCTCTAGAGCAAAATAAAAACAGCAGTGGCGTAATCGTCACCCGGCGACACGATGCCTGGACCAGCTGTCCGAAACCCTCGCCCTGCTATGTCTCATCCCTCTCGTTGTTGAAGTACACCTGCACACGACGATGGTGTTCTGTTGTGTGTTGCATCTAGTAGAAGCTGGCCGGGCATTTTTCGCATTTTCCGGGGACATGAAGACCATGTCCCCGGGGTTTCCAGTGATGTTTGGACGACGACAAATTGACGTGTCTCGATCGGCGATGGCGCGTGATCAGTGATACACTTGACACTTTCAACTCTCGGGCACTTGTCGGGTAGCTCTCCTCGACCCCCCTGGAGCACCTACCTCTACCCTTATCTGAGGTACTTCGTCTGGACCAGTCTTGTACTGCGTGGGCGGTCGCAGTCGGCAATCATCGTTTATTTCTCCAACTAGACAGGGCGGGACGACACCCAGGAGGCACCAACTCCAACGCCACCTCTCTCTACTTTAGTGCGAACGCGCAGGGCGCGTGTGTGCGTCTTTTCTTCCCACGCCGTCTTGTCTTGGGGAGCAGGCAGGCCGCATGCTCAAGGCACACAAGAGGAAGACCCGCAGAATCAGCAGTGGGGGAGGGAGCGCCCGTAGCGTCTCTCCGAGGCCTTCTTTTGGAGCGGAGCCCGGGCGGCGTTCGGCTGCTCCAGGAAGACGAAAGTCGAAAACCGCTCCAACGAGCCCGCTCGACGCCCCCGCCCAGACGACACAACAACAACAACAACAGGGGCTGGAGACGGCACCTCCACCGAAGCAGGGGCCAGGCCGGGAGGGGAAGTCTTACTCAGAACGCACTTTAGCAAGCGGGAGCAGCGACGGAGGCGTCGGCGTCCCGGGCACAGCAGCAGCAGCAGCAGCAGCAGGAAGGCGCGACGGGAACGACGACAGCAGGCACAAACGAGGCTCGAGCGAGCCGAACATGGCGAGCGTCTTCACCGAATGGTTTCAAAAACTCTTCGCTCCCAACGACGAGGGCAAGGGCAAGGGCGGCGGCAGCGCGGGAACGCCGGCCGCTGCGGCGGCCGGCAGGGCGGCCGGCAGGGCGGCTGGTGCTTCCGGCGCGGCCTCTGCTGCCGGGAAGGGCGGCAACGAAAAGGGTGCTTCGGACGGAGACGATGTGCGGTCTAACATAACCTCTGTCGCAACGAGCGACGGCGCGAGACCCTCGTCCCCCTCCTCGGGACAAGCCTCCAGCGCCGCGGCTGCGGCTGCGGCCCAGCGGCATCTGGGCGCTGCTGCGGGCACCGCTCCCGCGGAGACGGAGGCAAAGCAACAACACATCTCTTCATCCAACGATGGTGATGCTGCCCGGCCGGGGGCGCAATCACCCGCTCCCACCGAAGAGAGCGCTCCTGCAACAAGCATCGCGGGACAAAGCGCAGACGGCGCCGCCGCCGCTGCCTCAGCCGCCGCAGCAGGGGGAGAGCAGCAGCAGCAACAGCAGCCCGCCCTCAGCCCCCGCTTCCTGGGCATATTCTCGCGCGGAAGCAGCAGCGGCTCGGCCGGCAGCAGCAGCGGGAAGGGAAAGGAAGACGGCGGTGGTGGCGGTGGCAAGGCGGGTTCTTCCGCAGGAACCAGCAGTACCCCTCCGGCGGCAGGGACGGCAGCAGAAGCAGCAGCAGCAGCAGCAGCAGCAGCAGCAGCAGCAGCAGCAGCCTCGACGGGGGCGGGGGGAGCACCGGCAGCAGGAGGGGCCGTAGTTGACGTTGCGCCGCCGGGGCCCGACGCCGGAGGCGTCGGCGTCAAGCCCCCCGCCGCGCCCGAGGAAGCACCGTCCTTCGGGGGCGGGGAAGGACCGGTGCAGCAACCACGGCAACCCTTAACGGACAGGTCGTCAGCAGCAGAGGGAGCTGGGCTGGGAGCGCAAGCTGCTGGTGCTGCAGCGGCGGGGGCAGAAGCGGCGGCGGCGGCCGGGGCTGGGAGGGAGCAGGCGAAGGCGACCGCTCCGCTTAGGAGGGATGGCAGCGGCGGCAGCGGCAGCGGCGGCGGCGGGGGGGGGAGGGGGTCGGCCAGCAGATCGACCAGCCCGTCCCGGACGGCGGCTTTGAGCGTGGGCTCGGACGACGGAGAGGAGGAAAACTTGTACACGGCGGGGACGCACCAGGGCGCGCGGCCGTCGATCGATGACTTCAGCTCCCTGAGGGTGCTCGGGAAGGGCTCTTACGGCAAGGTGAGATGGACCATACGAGTGTAGCAGGAGACATGGCAAGCACCTTTGAGAGCGAGCGACACGTTGCTGCTTATCTGTGCGCGGGTAAAAAAACGGCGTTATCAACCATTATTGGCCCGCATCGACCACAGGGGACAGATCTCTAGGGTCCGTGGCAGGTCTCTCGTTGTTTCGTGTCTGTATTGAACCCTAGGGTGCGCGGGCATGCGTGACGGACTGTTAAATATGGCGTGTTTTGGATTGGTCGCACGAAGCCTTCAAGGTGGGGCCAAGCAGTAACGGGGTGGGCCTCTGCCGAGGCGTGTCTGAACATTGTTATCGTGAAACATTGCCTTTCCGTCTGTGTGACATCAGACATGCCACGGAGCGGAGGCGGTCGCGTAATACGTCTGTTGTACATCGCGCGTTTTTTTTCTTGTGTTTTCCCTGGTCCAAAACATATAACATGACCAAGTCTTCTCTGTTGTTGCAACCCACACACACATCAAATCGAAACTTCAGCAGCCCTTTTTGATGATGGGCAGACAACACCGTTATCGGGCAGCGTTTGGAGCCACGTCGTGAATGAAGAGTGCACGGGGTACCGCGGTAACAACATATTTTGGTCATCATTTAGGTTGTTTGCCTGTAGCAGTTGGTTTCTCTGGAACATTAGTTTGATGACGCACAGAACACAGAACACGCGCCAGCATGTTGCTCCTCAATTTCTGATGCATAGGTGAGTCATCTATGCTTCCCTCTAGCGTGCAAGCGTCAAAGGGCCCCAGTTGCCTGCGCATCCCCCCCCGCGCTCGGGATTTCAGACCTCGTCAGTTTCACGTGTAGAAGTAGAAATACAGGTAGCGCTGACGCTCTGGATCCGTTGCTAGTACTGAGTATATCCTGGACTCGTGTATCTGCGCATACTGGAAGAGATGGAATTGTTGAGTTTATATAAATAAAATAATAAGAACAAGACAAAGAAAAACACGAACGATTTGTTGACGAAGCGAACCAGCTGTGCGTAATAGTGTTGTTTTTTTGGCCGCATCCCCACTAAGCCTTCTCGGTTTGAGATCGAGTCTTCACGTAAGAAACTCTTCTTATGCCCGAGGCTGGTTTGCTATTTTCTCTGTGTGTGTGGGGGGGGGTATACCTAATATCACCCACCCCAGGTTTTTACTATAATGATTCTCAACCGCGGAGCCCCTGTTGTTAGTGGTGAAGGTCTCTTTTGTCTGAAGTCCTTGGTTAACGCCCAGGGTCTCACGCGGTGGCGCGTGATGCCATGGAAGCCTCGTTGTCTGCATTTGTTCAAGCGGTGGGAATGATTCTTGTGCTTGGCGCCGTGTGTGACCTTGTCCCATAGAAATAGAGGAGGAGGGCATGTGTCCTCATGCCAGCTCAATAGTTATTTCCTTCGAGAAACAAGAACCGGGCGTGTGTGCGTGAGCGTGTGCCCCCCCCCACCCCCCCCGTTTTTTTCATTATATAAACATGCACTACGATACGCGAAGGCAAGGGTGGCTTTGATATATGTACCCGCGATTACTTTCTGTGGGTGATGCTGCGAATACAGTAGTAACCTTCGCAGTGTTTTCGATTAAGTAAACATGTTGAATACAGCATACAATCGGGGAAGCGAATCATGCGAATACCAGCAGCGCCTGCGAGAGATTCTGTATGTATCTACTGCTGTGGGTATATCTCGAATGGGTAGTCTTTCTGTGTGTGTATTTATTATTCCTTAATTTATCTATGTACCACTGCAATGTCGTCCCCAATACTGAAAAATAATAATCGAACACCCAAAAACAAAACACGCATTTTCATGGCTTCCAAGCATGGCGTCTCGGCAACTGAACGTGAAACAGTAAGCAGCAATACATCCAAAGCAAAGCACACCAACCCAACGTTGATGTTTTTTTTCTTGTTTTATTCCTCGAGGAGGTGTTGTTTCGTCCGGAATAACAGGGAGGAGATCCGTCTCGTTGTCGGCAAATTCTTGTGTTGATGTCAGTCTCACAATTTTCGGAGTAGCGGTAGATACCACTGCTGTAGTATCATAGGTGTTACGCTTTGACACGGGCGATACTACTGTACAGAGTCATCGCCCAACACGTGGCTGACACTTGGAAGCGTGGTACACTGGCTGTCATCACCCCTAACGCCAATTTTTCTTGTGCATCGCCACGATACGTGCGTGAAGAGGTCCAATACCGAGGTGACCACCATACGGTCTTGTCTTTGTGAGACGTTTTAGGGGAGCTACTTGGTTGTCGTGTTTTATGCTGGCTTGGGCAGAAACCCTAGTAGACCATGCACAACGCTGATCACGTATCTGTCCATTTATTGAAGACTGTAGAATGCCCACGGCCAAAGTGAACTCAAGTGTGTACATTTTTCTGTGAGTAACAATAACCCATGATAGTAGACAACCGAATGGGAGTATCCATGCTACGTTGGAAGGAGAGGTGAAGCACCAGACGCGTTGTACAGATACATGGGGTTGACAACAATGTACCTCCACACACGCGACGGCCTCCCTCTCTTCTTTTTTTTTAAGCTTTGCCTCATTTCTTGGTTGTTTTCTTCGGAGCCACAACGCGCTTGGCTTGAAGAGAGTTTGAGAGCAATGGGCGCACTCACGTACGCATGGACCCTTTGGATTTGGAAGCGTGCTGTTTCAGCGATTTTTATCCCGTTGCCCCTTGTGTGGCACAGCAGGGCAAGAGGCAAAGCACGCGCCAACGTGTATAGATACAATATTGCATGGTTGGAGAGTTACGGACGTTTTTTGTTTGTTGCAGTTTGCCCGAGGAAGAAAGTTTTCTTTCCTTTTTTTCTTTTAATTCTACTTGAAGCGATGCCGGAGGGCATGGTGAGCGTGTGGAACATGCGTCTCAGCATCCATTAGAAGTATGTCGTCCGAGCAAGCCCGCAAGCACAGACTTTTCCCCCCGCCTGACACGTTCACTCTCTACAAGGGGGCTGCCGCAGCACGGAATGACCGGTTCCAAAAAGGAATCAAAGATGAAAGCTTTCCTCTGGCAGATGCTTACGCTATTCGACCCGCCCGTGTCCTCCGTAGGTACGTACTCCCTGTCTTTTTTCTGCGTTTGCCATGTGTTTACTTACCGGTTCTGTTGGTTCCTTTTTTTTTGCTGTTTCATGGGGCCTCTTCAAACAGCAAGTACTTTTCACAAACTGTCAAAACAAACTGTCAAATCTCCGTAAAAAAAGAAAACGAAAATTTGTATGCATGTATTTCGAACGGCAATATTTACCCATGCACCCCCCCCCCCCCCCCGGAAAAAAAAATATTTTACGGGCTGGCCCATTTTGGGGACCCCCCCCCCCCCCCCCTTTGAAAAAAAAAAAACATTTATAGTGGCGCCCGGGGTTTTTTTTCCCCGGGCGCCCCCCCCTTTTTGGCCCCCCCGGAGGG